ATCTTGAAATGTGACATTCATATTTTAAAGATACACACATTTCATTGTGAGGTTGAGTTAATATACACTAAGCCTCTTCAACAATACGTTGACGTTAGCTAGTCTATTTTATGCTATAGTAGAGCATAGCGAATTTAAATGAACCTTTAAAATGCATACAGTAACCTAACTAGCAAACTAACTATCTAACGTACAAGGATGACCTTATTTTAGCAACCTCGCACAGAAGCCTTTAGGTATACAGTAGCATCCCACTTAATGTTTTACACTCTTGGATGCTACGCATAGCATCGTTAGCACAGATGGAGCTACGATTGCTCAAATGCTAACCCAACTCTAAACATTCATTAACGTTAGCTTAATAAAAACACCAGTAACATAACATAAAGTACGCAGGGTTGACTTACCGAAGAAACTGCATTCATGGACGGTCTGTTTCAACCGCAGATAAATCCTATATTTGCATGACGAATAGTCCACCACGAACCAACACAACAAACACGGCCGAGTTCAAGTAGTGTTCTCCTCATGAGCTGAGCCGCTGTAGCATCACGAAGCCAATGGAGCTAACGGAGTTTGCAGTGAGACAGAGGAGCTAGGAGCAGCAGTCCCGTTGTCATGAAGGGGGAATCTAACTATATACAGAATACGTTTTTGTGGATCCAGGCAAGAAACATGTTCATTTTCTGATGTTAAATTGGACATTTTAACATAGGGTCTACGGGAATTGCTCGTAGCCCGGATGATGCTGCATCGCAATTTTTGACGTCGAATTTTATACACCGAATTTTTTGACATCGAATTTTAAACACCGAAATATTTGACGTCAAATTTTTTTCACTTTAATTTTTGGGATCTGAATTTGAACATTCACATTTTTTTAACTTGAATTTTTACATTTTTATTTCACATAGGTAAATTCGGAGCAAAACAAGTTCAGATACATGATTTTCAGAGTAATTATTTTCAATTCTACAAATTCGGTGTCTGATAAAATTCAAATACTTCTGTCTCTTGTTTGCTTCCATAGATGAACGAACAGTGGTGAAATGTAACCAATTTACTCAAGTAGGCTACTCCAGAGCCCTATACAGTATAATCTCCCATATAATCTCTATGGCGCTGGGCTACTCTACGTAAAACATTGAGATATTTGTACTTTACGTGAGTATTTTCACTTTATGCTATTTCACCACTAGATTTCTGACATATTTATTTACTAGTTACTTTGCAGATTTAAAATATAAATCAATTAATACATTATTATGTATTATTTTAGGTTAAGCTACCCTAGTGTATAACGTAATTCAAACAAACCTGGGGCAAGTGCAACATTGAAGTGAAGAAAACATAAATGCACCACTAATTTTAATGCAATAATTAAAACATATTTGGTGCTTTAAATGGTTATTATGTACTAGGCTACTTTTACTACTACTTTTTAAGTACAATTTTTGAATGCAGGACATATACTTGTAAATTGTTGTAACTGAGTATTTGTACACTGTTTGCTACTTTTACTTAAAATAAGTACAGTAGCCTACTTATTCTACCTCTGGTAATGAACCATAGTATATTGTTTAAGTAGGCCTGAACTCCATGATCTTGATATCATAACATTTCAATTAACTATTTTAACATTCATGATTGTACCAACTTGAGGAGCATTTCTTTATTGAATTTTCCTTCTGTGCCGTCATTCTTCTACTTCATGACAATTCAAAGGTAAATATTGTACTTTTTACTTCACTACATTTATTTTAGAAATATAGTTAGCTACTTCATCAATTCAGATTTTTACACACACCACTTAGGAAGAACTTGTGTAATATGATGCCATCACCAAGTAGGCTACCTTCAACAATAAGTGTGTTGAGAAACATTGCACAGTTTCAGGTTCTTGAAATTTAAGATTTTATTTTTTATAATTTTGAGATTTTTTTCCTTGCAAATATACTTCAAGTATATTCTTCCTGTTTCATACTTTTACGTGTACTAACTCAATGCAATACTTTTACTTGCAATGCAGTATTTTGACAGTGTAGTTAGTAGTTTTACTTTCCACACAATAGAGGGCAGTAGTGCACCACAGAGTTAATTATCAACCTGGTTTAAAAATAAGAAGAAGCCCGTGAAGCCTGTCGCTCCGCCCGCTTGGATGTACGCTGCACGGCGCCGAGTGGGGTGACAGAGAATTAAAGATTGTATATAAACACAATTTATAGGTTGTCAACGTTTTCTATCAGTTTGCACAATGAGCGGGATACCAGGGACTGCTGTCGTCCAGGTTACCAACCTGTCCTCGGCCGTGAGCAGCGAGCAGATGCGCACCCTGTTTGGCTTCCTGGGAGACATCGACGAGCTGCGGCTCTACCCGCCCGAGTAAGAGCAACCTACCCCGGCATGTCTAGCTATGCAACACCGTGGATCTGAGGCCTTTCTGCAACCCACTAAAACATGCACATAATGATATAACGGATGAAAAATGTAACTAACCCGCCTTGTTTTCTGTTTGCTTTATTTCACAGCAATGCCCCTCTGTCTTTCTCGTCCAAAGTGTGCTATATAAAGTACCGGGACCCCTCCAGTGTTTGTGTGGCGCAACATCTCACCAATACTGTTTTTATTGACAGAGCTTTGATAGTGGTGCCATGTGCGGAAGGTGAGTCAAAGTCGGTTTCTTTAAAGTAATACAAATGCAATGTACGAATTGCTATGAGGTCGTCCCTTTTGAATCCAACCGTTTGGTGTTTTGGTTGAATTATGGGTTGTTTTCTTTTTCTCACATGGAGTTGTGCCAGTTGGGTAGTCTTGATTTTAGCCACTGATGACGCTAGTTTTGTACACAGGTGTCTGGTTGTATCACCCTAAAAAACTTAGCCATGTTATTTCCTGTAGTGCCCAGCCAAGGTTTCTGTTTGCTGTCACAAGGTGGTTGTTTCTATCATTAGAGCAGTGATGACTGTTTTCGAAGCTCCACTACATCGCTTTACTCACTGTAAACACTGGATTATGTGAAACAAGTAGCTTGTGTATTTTCTTTAATAAACTGCCATTACTTGTTTCATGAAAATAAGTATAACAGTTTAATTAATCCCCTTTCTCTCTCTTTCATTTTTGGTGCTCCTTTTTCTTTAAACCTGCCTCCCTTGTGTACAGTCAAACAAATGATATCACCTCTAACTTGATGCTTTTTGTCCACCTGACTTGGTGCTGGATGGCTACTGAGTTTATTAATTTGGTTTTGTATGTTTTTTCTGTGTGATTATGTGTGCATATCAGATGACTAGACTGGCCCAGCTGTTACACTACACTAGCCTGAGTCAGGCATTGTTTTCCAAGCCACTATCCCCGATCGGGCCAACGCAGCCTTCAAGGGGGAATGTGACCCGGAGAATAGCCTGCTGAGCCTTCCAAGATGGACACCTTGTCTCTTTTTATTTATTTAATTTTTTATTTTGGTTTGTTTCCTTTCATACTTTCCCATGTTGTCCACTCTCTACTGTCTCTATCTAGAAACTATAGTACTGCTTATCTCTAGCTTTGTGTTTATATTTGTTATTTTGGTTTGTTGTTTTGATTATTGTCCAACCCCCACCCCCCTCTCTCTTCCTGCTACAGCTGCAGCTTGTGTGTGATTGAATTCTGTCCAGGTTGCTACGGCATACCGGCGGGATGTGTATCACACATGGGATGCTAGGAGGATCACTAACACTTTACTCTCTTGTCGCCTACACCTGTTCACATAGTGAGGAGCTAGACATTATGAATGTGAGAACTAGTAGAATATTTTAAATTCTATTTACACTCACATTACAGCTCTGCTATGGATGTTTAATACATTATAATAGCACAAAGTCACTCCATTCAACATCATCTTTTCTTTTCAACATGTGAGACATGATTTAAAGCTTTGCGTCGCTATTTGTTTTATATATTTCCAGCGCTAGAAGAACATTTCCTGTGGTAATCATGCTCAGGGCTTCCAGCTACAATGAACTGAATTTGTATATGTTGTTTCTTAGTGGTCTTAACGTAGCTCTCTTCTCCAGCTATAAAAGCAGCAACCCTTAGTGGAAGTGGAATCAGAACAAATAAATCCTAATTGGTTGTTTTTAGTCTTGGCTAACATTTCCTACAGTTCTTAAAATTGTTGTTCTTCTCTGTATCTGATGTCCTGTGTGCTATTAGTGATGCAGCCATTGGGGTTGTCTTGTGTTGCACACCTTTCCAACACTGCGAAACGATCGCCCCCACGGAAAAGCGCCCATGCTTGATATCGTATGGTTCATGACCAATATGTTTCCAGTACAGGTGACCCATGCATCAAAGTGTTGACTCATTCTCTGCATTGTGTTTTTTCTTATTCTTTTTTGATCTATGAAAAGAGACCAAGGACAAAAAAAAGAGTATTTTTGAAAACAAAGTAAAGATTTTCATTGACAATAATAATTCAGATTGACTGAAATGAATAATTTAACAAATGGAAGTAATGCTGCTCGGTCTCCAGTAGTAGACAGTTGTAGGCTGTATGGGGAGGTGTATGCTCTCTTTCTCTCTAGAATACAGTGGGCTAATTGAGCAGACATAGAGGAGACATAGAGACGAGTCCCTCTAATGCCTTCACTAATATCTGCTTCTGTCCTGCAGGGAAAATCCCAGAAGAGGCCAAAGCCTTGTCTCTTTTGGCGCCTACCGCTCCAACACCTAGTCTGATTCCTGGTGGGGGGCTGCTACCAATTCCTACTCCCGCTCCCCTTCAGAATGTGAGTCAGCACCTCTCGTGTCCTCTTTTACGTGTCTCCTTTGAGCTTTCATCTTAAGTAAAACCTGTGTGTGTGTTTGATACCTGCAGCTGAACGTCCCTGCAGTGAGTCGGCTGTCAGCTGCTCTGGACCCCACAGCATCATCGCTCACCCAGGCCCCACTCATGGGAAATGTGGACCCCTCAAAAGTGGATGAGATCAGGAGGACCGTCTATGTTGGCAACTTGAACTCACAGGTCACAAACCTCATGTCAAATGGTTTATACTTACCTACAGAGATGGGGTCGTTACTAAAAAAAAAAGTAATATATTACATATTACTTTAAAAAATAAAAGTAATATATTACATATTACTTTAAAAAAAAGTAATATATTACACTACTTCGTTACTCTCTACAAAAAGTAACTCGTTACTTTACTCGTTACTTTACTCGCAGGGCCGGCCCGCCCCTCCCTACAGGCAGATCACGCAGACTGCGGCGCACCTACAGTGTAAGCTCGCCACAGTTTTGCCTCTGCGAGACTCCACTTGCACCCCCAATTACTATTGCATTAAGGAAGACATAACACAAGTCTTTCTTTTTATATGCTCTAAAATAGGCTACTAGCCTACCACAACAAGCTAACAGTCTGTGAAACGTAAAGACACTAATTAATGAAACCAGTTCAAGACGCATTATTCTTATCATTCTTTATGAGCGCAGTAACGGTAAGGTATCTAATTACTTATTTATTTAGTATTCCATAACTTAGTAACAGAGATGGTCAAACTAAAGTGGTAGAGACATGGCAGAATTCCTACAATGAAGCGGGACAATGAACTGTTCACCTGTGAGAGGGCGATCAAGAAAAGAGAGCGAGCGGCCCCGTTGAGGGAGTTTACAGATTAAAAGACTCAGCCATGTTTATGCAGCACTGCACGTGGAGATGTGGTCGCGCAAGTCGCGCAGATTACATAGGCCTACATGGATACAAACCTGCAGCAGAAACCCCTCTTGTCTGTCAGTGAGTGTGATTATTTTATAAAAGTAACGAAGTAACGCGTGTCGGGGCAATGTTAGTAACTGTAGTGTGATTACTGAATTATAAAAGTAACGCGTTACACTACTCCGTTACCGACAGATTAGCTGTTTCCGTACAAAAAGTGATGTGTATATGAGGCCTCATGATAACGAACACACACACTCGCGTCTCTAAACTGGACCCACCCAGAGTAGAATAATAAAAGTTAAAGCAAGAATAAACCGTCCATATTTATTTTTCCTCTTGTTTTTTGTAAAGATTGCTTTGTGTGGGGGGGGGGAGCTAGTGATTTGTCCGACCGGCCCACTTCGGTACTTTGTGACGCGTTACACCCAACTCTGCTTACCTAGCAACAAAGTGGTGTATCTTTCCGTTGCACATGTAACCCAGTATGGCCCGTTTGTGTGTTTTCAAAGAACAATGGAGCTATACGGCACAGAAATAGAGTAAATATTAGGATGTGGGTACTAATTTATTCTTCAATAATTGTCATTTTAGGTCATCTTGAGATTTGTCTACATAAGAAAGATACAGAAAATCAACACACATCCTTTAAACGCACAAAATGTCAATTTTGCCCTCTACAGGTCTCTCAAAATAAAAGCTTGGCAGACATTGGATAGAGGGGCAGCTAACTAACTGCTAATGTTTGCTTTGCTTGTTTCTCTAATAACATAAGATCAAGACAGGCAATGACTAAAATACTTCCCCCAGTTAAAATATATATTTAACAACGGCTAAGATCTAACAAGTGTAATGTAAAAATGAGGCTCACTGGATACAATTCAATTGATGAAAGATTCTGGCAGACAACCACAACCCTGACTCATCCCCCATTTTTTTTTTGGTTTACCATTTACTGCTGATGGTGTATGATAATCAACCACTAAAATAGTTCCAGACGCTTAACCACATCAAGGATCAAAGCTTTACATTCTTTACGTCCTTCATTCCACAGACGACCAATGCAGACCAGCTGCTGGAGTTCTTCAAGCAGGTGGGCGAAGTGAAGTTTGTGCGAATGGCTGGAGATGAGACCCAGCCGACACGCTTCGCCTTCGTAGAGTTTGTTGGCCAGGAGTCCGTCAACAGAGCCCTGACCTTCAATGGAGTCATGTTCGGAGACAGACCGCTGAAGTGAGTCGTTTTGAGAAAAAGACAATTTTACTGATCCAGTAGCACCTCATTTCTCTTAATATTGTTCTCAAATAAGAAGCTAGGTGGTCAAAATGACATGAATCATCACAAAGAACCAGATGTCATTAGTAAGTTGGTGTCAGTTGATATTGTTTTATGTCTTTCAGGGTGAATCATTCCAATAACGCCATAGTCAAACCCCCAGAGATGACGCCACAGGCTGCAGCTAAGGAGCTAGAAAGTGTGATGAAGAGGGTGAGGGAAGCACAGTGCACCATTGCTGCTGCCATAGATCCAGGTACAACATCTTGATTTTCTGCATGTTTAAGGGATTTAGTAACAGATAAGTGAAATTGTCCTGACACTGAGACTGCTACTCTTCCTCCAGCTGACTTAAAGAAATGCTCCCCCAGTCGCTCTCGGAGATTATGTCGCTCCCGCTCACGGTCAAGATCCCGCTCTCGCTCAAAAATGCACAGGAAAAGATCCCGCTCGAAACAAAGGTGATGACTAATACACTCTTGCGTGATGCTGTGATCATATGATGGTAATTGTTTCAGGTCAGTGACATTGTTTTGTCCTGTAGCAGACCAGCGCCAAAGTTGTGTCCCAAGAATGACTCCCACAATTCCCGGAGCGGCCACAGGAGGAGCTCTCTCTCCCGAGACAAGAAACATAGTCGCAGTCGCTCTAGGTATGTTGGGGAAAAACCACAATGTTTAGCTTGAAATATTCATCTAAACAGTGTTACAGCTGGATGTGAGGCACATTCTGCTGCTGTAATGTCATTTTAGTAGAAATTGGCCCAATTCCAAACCAAACCCTACACACTACCACCCACAGGAGTGACACTCGCAGCTTAAAGAGTCCCCCTCCTTTCAGGTGGAGGCTGTAAATACAGCGGCAAGCTTTGGGGCGACCTCTCCAACAGAAACAGGCCATAACTTTCCGTAACAACGGTTTCAAATCAGCATCTCTCGGACAAAAAATAATAACTAAAATAAAACTCTAAAAATCTTAAATGGCATTTATTTGATGTAAACCTATTTTTGGTTTAAAATCTGATGTTTATAAGCTGCTAAGTTTTTGCAACAGTCCCTGTAAATGTATACTTTATAATCAAATGCACACATTTACCGTTTTCTTGACTAAACCCAGGTATAAGATCCTTTATTAAGAAAAATATGAGCAAACCATGACGTTGTTAATGAAATTATTAAATGTCGATCTTGTTGTATCAGTAAATGTTTGCACGGAACTGTTTGTAAAAGTGTGTCTCATGACGGACACACATAGCGTTGGGTCGGTCAGGCAGAGCAGCAGGTGAAGTCAGGTGATGCTGACTCTCTGTTGGAGGGCTTGTAACCCACCCCCCCTCCACACTTGTTGTTTTGGAACGGCACTTTGGAATGGGACCTAAATCAGCTCTTGTGCCCTTCTGTTATCCTTTTCCTGAACAGCAGGGGTCCCCAGGCACTTGATGAGTCAGTTGCTGCCAAGATTTGGCTCCTGTTGTGCTGCACCTGGCACCAATGAGGACAACATACTCTTATTAATATTTTAATACAATACATTTGATATTTTTTATGTTTCTATCAATGTTTTGTCCTTAATGCATCTAATCTCATGTTCCTGCTTATCCATAAATGCTCATATTATTTCAAAATGTACTAAATCCTGGTAATGTGGTGTTCTCAGGGGCCATAGGAGGAAGAGTAAGGATCGCTCAAGGAGCCCCCGGAGGAAAGCAAGGTCACCCTCCCCAAAAAGGTAAACTCGTCATCGTCTCCTATGCTAACCTTTGTCTTTTTTTTTTCAAGGTGTGTTTACTGTTTACAATATCACTGATTTTGTGTGCATGATTACGATTTTTGTCCTTATGTCTGCATTAGCTTTTTCAGAGGAAGGAAAGACAAGAGGAGGGAGCGCAGCAGGGACAGGAAGGAGCGCTCAACATCCAGGAAGAGGAGCCGCAAGGACGAGGAGAGGATGAAGATCAAGGCCAAGCCAATGAAGGTAATAAAGCTGTTAATTAAAACACCTTGCTTTAAAAGACCTCCCTCTGCAGATACCAGAATCTGCTGTTCATTTTCTCCTGCTCAAGCAGCCAAGTGAAGCTGTCAGACTGCTGATATTTGAATGAGCTGAGCTTTGTAACACTGACAGACATGAGGGGAATGAGATGTCTGTCCCACTGCATGTCTGCAAATCTCTGATTCCCTGTCCCCTAGAAATCCCCCCGAGTAATCGTTTTTTTTATCAGAGGTTACAAAACTCAAGAATCAAACCTTGTGAACACTGACCTACTTTCTACTTTTTGAGATCACACAAAGGAGATAGCCATCAAATAAAGGTGACACGTTTTAATCTTATCGCGCTCCATCTTTGCTTCCGATAACAATCAGAACCTTTGTTCAACAAATGGCAGCGTTTCTTCTCAGAAACCACTGCTAACCTGCAAAGTGCCTGCATAGCACAGTCTGTATATTCATGACACGTTTCAAAGTTCAAAGTCATTTAGACAGATACAGCCAAAATGCGTTTTTATAATAATACACATTCACCCTGTAGACATCTCCGCAGTAATCTTTTTTATTTACCGAGTCATTATACACAGAACACAGTATAACAGCAAATATTTAAGAATAAAGTCTGTATCGGAAACAAGTGATGGAAATAGAAGGCAGCGCAGGTTCGCTGTTCAGTGTGAATCCTCCTGTCTGCAGCCAGGAATGATTCTGTAACTGAATTTGGAACGGAACCCACACTTTATTTCTCGACTGTGGAAATGTGATATTTTTCACATCCCAGATGAACAAAGGCATTTAAACGTAAGTGTTGTTAAAGGAGACATGATTTCACTAGACTGAACTATAACTGGGATTTATAAATGAGTCTTAATCCTAGTTTATATATTTAAAAAAAAATCTGTTTTAATTTTGAGAATGAATTGAGAAAAAGCAGAACCCACTTGCACATGAGACACATTGAAAATACATAAGATATTACTTGCCATTGCCATCGTGTATTGAGATGTATAGATAACGTTATATATAGAATTATTTATATATATAATTATTGAATGAATCCAAATACGTTTAGCAAGATGCTTATTTTAATTTAAGTTACCTGTTGATGTTCTGGTAATGTAAATCTTTGACCTTTTAGTACCTGAACTTTGAGCCGACCAGGTTTGATTGTTACTCGTTCAAATTCCAGGTGGAAAGGGACTACGACAGGGAAGAGAAGGACGAATATGAAAGTGACAGAGAGGACATGCTCAGTGAGGACATGATGTCATCACCCTGCGCCCAGCAGAACGGCAGCTACAAGACTCACAATGAATATGCATCAATGGGTGCGGACAACAACAAGGAACTATTCCATCGCCATGGAAACTAACCATATTTTTCGTCAAATTATGGCAGCACCCATCACATGAGTATAACCTCATAAACAGCAGATAACCACTAACAACAGCATGTTTGTCACATCATCATCATCATCATCATCATTATCATCACAACCTGATTTCTACAGCACATCGTTGCATGGACGCTGTTATTCATTATCAATATCCCACTTTAAGGGCACTCGTAAGATTTTGGGACTTGCAGCAGGTACACTTGATACAATGTACAAAATCAGTTCAACACTAAATAATACAAGCTTAGGAACACCGCAACAATAACTGGACTTTAGACATATTGGATTGCATAACCCAATATAAAACAACAAATGTTGCTGTCTATTCCTCCAATAAACATCTCAACCACACTTAGTTGTTCAAAAAGCCTTTATTGCCTTCAAAATGATCAGTATTTGTGTAATGTAGTAAGTATTCATAGTTCATAGTTAGGGATGCCAGCGATTATTCGATTTTTCGAATATTCGTTACAGTCTCCATAATCGAAAAATTATTTTTTTAAATTAGATTTTATTTATATATTTTTTATTATTGTTTGTTTTTTCTTTTTTTTCCTGGCTTAGTTTCAACCAAAATATAGACTAATGCTAATAATAGTAATAGTATTAATAATTGTAAATGGCCATTGGTCACACCACCAGTTTGTTTTACTGTAAACTTGGAGGAAGCTAGCAG